TAGTTTTACATTTAAGTGATTCAGAATTACTTCCTGGAGGAATAATTTCTTTTACTTTCACCCAAGAACGTTTTCCAAGTATTCTGTATTTCACAAGCCTCAGAAGACCATGAGCGTCACCACTACAAAATAAACAGACGTTTGAATACATGCTATCATGAGTTTAAAGCTTATGGGTACTCAGTGAGCTGCCAATGATTAAAGCCAAAATTCCTCTATTGGAGTAAAACAATGAAATCTCATTGTCCTCAGGCTCAAAGCTGTGGGCGTTAATGTATTTTTAAGGCTTTGGAGATGAATGTTGATTTTTCTTTACCCACTAGTTTTCCTGGAAGGTTATGGATTCACAGTCAATGGCCACAGAGAAGAATCTTACGGTACTGGGAGTGAGTGTTAAATGGGTCAGTGCAGTATGCGGCAGGGGCAGGTCTCATTGCCCGCTGTCCTCACTTAGACACAAGGGACTAAATACGGCTATTTTGTCTAACTTGCAGTAAGGAGATGTGGAGTGCTGGACCACGAACAATGTTCCCAACGCAAACACTGATCACCTGAGAAACTCTTTGAGCCTTCAGGCTGGATACAGAGCTCAGTGATGAGGGGCTGCTCAGAATGTGCAAGGGGTGGAGGAGAGAAGGAAAGAGGACAACAGAGGAGGAGGGGAAAAGAGAGGAAGGGAGGGGGACAAAAGGGGAAGGGCGGAGGGGGAAGGAAGGAGAGGACAGATCAGTCAGTAGGCTTGGTTGTAAGGCAAGAAACTGTATTTCTCAGGACGTGCCAGCGCCAGCGGGTGTTGATCTTGCCAGAAGGCTGGCTTTCAGTGGTAAAAAGCTGGCACGCTGATCATATTCTGTCTGGAAATGAGCTGTGTAAGCCAGAAGCTGAAGCCCAGGTTCTCTCATTCAGTGTGACGTTACACAGTTATGCAAATAGAAAATTAATTAACTAAGTGGACTCTTATCTACTTACATAAGATATAAATCTGGACCAGGGGAGTATCAGGTCTCCTCAGTACCACAAAACGTAAGATCTGAAGATTTGACTTTAATTTGAGCATTGTCTTTTATATTTCCCTTCATGAACAGTGACAATTCATAAAGTTTTATTGCAGAGTACCACCCCAGAATCCCTGTTTAGCTGTACTTGCATTCTTTGAGTCAAGACAACAATTATTTGCTTAATGTCCATGTCTCACTCTTCCTCCATAACTCTTAGAACACTGTTCAGACCTGTGTGCTCCTGTAAGGAGAGTTCTTATGTGGTCTGTGGGACCATGTGTTTCCCAAATGAAGTGCAGCTCCTGCTATTTCACATTCTCCAGAGGGCTCTAATATTCTTAAATAGAGATGATCCCCTCACTAGAGCCATGCTCATCAAATGCACTCTTGCCAATGTGTCAAGGGCTGGCAACAGTTTCAAACTGCAGTTAGCAGGAAGAAGAAAAAAGTCCTTTCCCTACTCTGAATAGATATTTAATCTGCTGTCTATTATTTATTCCCCATACAAATATCTTCATTAGAACTCATTAGCTTGTCTGGAATACTCATTGTCTGGCAGCTGCTGTTGCGTCCTCAGTCTTCCCGTTCCACAATACCCCAGCACAGCCTTGCCAGGGAGATGCTCTCAATTTTCAGCAAAGCGCATGTCACTTCCAGCTAACGGCACGCCTTGGCCCTTATTCAACACCTCCATGCAATGAAGTCCGTCTATGCGGTAATCAGGCTGTTACTACTTCCCCCTCATCAAATGCTTTCTGTGGTTTCCACGTCTGTGACTCTGGTTATACATTTCTTCTATCTGGTATTTTTTTTTTTCTGTACAATTATACTCCTCCTTTTAAAGACTCATTGAATGCACCTATTCTTTTTTCAGCACCCCTGATTCCTCTACTATTGCTCTCAACTCTTTACTCAGCAGCTCCCATTTACAGCATGATTATTCAACCACACAGTTTTTGAGGATCTGTAACATGTTTTTTTTTTTCTTTTTCTAGCTCCCCCCATGCTTTGTCACGACAGTAGGCATATCTGTTGAAGAAACAAGCAGGCAGCTTTGGGATTAATCTGTAATTGAAGATGCTCAGAAGCTTTAGAAATCTGAGATTATTTAGTGCTTTAAAATAATTTTATTACTTTATGTGTATAGGTGTTTGTCCAGGACATATGTATGTGGACCGCCTATGTGCAGTGCCCATGGACGTAAGAAGAGAACATCGGTCTGACGGAGTTACAGATGGCTGTGAGCTGCCATGTGACAACAGGTGCCAAACCAGAGTTCTCTGCAAGAAAAGCAAGTGCTCTTCATTGCTGAGCCATGTCTCTATCCTGTCACTACCTTAGTTCTTTCCTTTCTTTGTGTTTTTGTTTGTTTGTTTTTGTTTTTGTTTTTGTTTTTCGAGACAAGGTTTCTCTGTGTAGCCCTGGCTGTCTTCCAACTTGTTCTGTAGACCAGGCTGGCCTCACAGAGATCTGCCTGCCTCTGCCTCCCGAGTGCTGGGATAAAAAACATCCACCACTGCGCCCGGCTTCTTCACTACTTTCTTAACACTCCTGACACTCCTTCCCTCTAGGAGTTCATCACTTGGAAAATCAAGGAGATGTGGTTTGACCTCTAGGTTACAAGTTCATGTGCTACTTTTAAGGACTTCTTCAAATACATATTCCCATAACTCAACCTGTACTATTCAGATGGTTCAGGGTAAACTAAATGTAAATACCATTTTCTGTTTATAATTCTCTGATACTTTTGTAGCTTATAACACAATCTCATGATGGTCTATGGTTCCATTCTGTGTTACCGAGTTATTCACTGTAAAGCAAGAGAGTATCAACAAACTAAGAAACCAGGTTTTGCAATGGTAGTCGTTATATCAGTTTAGAAAAGCTTACATGTGACTTTCCTTATTGACCTGTATTCATAGCAAAAATAAACTCATTGTAAGCCTATGACTCCTGCAAGAGGAGCTGACATTGCAAAACAGTGAAAAAGCATGTCTAACCTGATGACAGAGATTGTTGCCCAAGGCAGTCTGTGCCTTTGCTCACGCTGCCATCTACCTTATGTCACAGGTATTTATAATTCAACATGCAAACAGAAGTTCGGAACAAGGAGACCCAGTGCCATGGTCCCTGCTGCATCACACAAGGGGTTATCAAGGAAGGGGAACACCAGCGAGCACTTCTTATTTTAGGAGATGCGCATTTATACTAGAGTTCAGTAGAAAAGGTTTAACTAGCAAAGGACGTTTGCTACCTTCCAGTCATTCTTCCCTGAATTAACTGTCTTTCTTACACAGACTCGAGTTTGGAAAGTGAGCACACTTAAAGGAACAATGTTAATTAGCGACAGTGTGGCCACTGATGACAGCAACCACAATGGAGGCTTGGGGAGCTCTGGGGGCTGGAAAGATTGGGGTTAGGTGACAGGGGTTCTGCTTCAACTTCTCCCACTTAAGTATACCCCCTCCTTTCACCCGGTCACAAGCTTCCTAGCTGCAGAGGTGGGTAAGGCCACCTCTACTCTTACTGCTGCACCCTCTTGTGAAGTGCCATTATGACAGAACAACAGACAGCATTCTAATCCTAACACAGAGATGCCATAGCTACAGCAGCCTGGGAGCCAGGGGGCCTGTGCGGAACTACTTCAAGGTTAAAACGTTCCACTACGTCTTAGAAAGATGGGAGATAACCTTGATTTTGTTTCGTGAGGTTACTCTTCTATGCAGTGGTGAGGGTACCAGGCACCACCAGTCTCTCTCATTAATTCTGCAGCAAAATAGATAATTTAATGCGCTGTAATCACATTGTGACCAATATTCCTGTACAAGAAGGGGAAAGTGAATGTCCACGACACATCAGGTGGAGGATTTAAGTCTTATTTTTTCCTCATAAAAATATAAAGACAAAAAGTCTTACAGACGGAGACGAGACAGATGAGCACTGGCCTGAGGTAAGAGCAGCCAGGCAAGCCAGAAGCTCTGAGGTAACTTTAAATAGCAGATCTTGTTTTACATTCTCACCCCGAGAATAGAAACTGTTAATCAGTTCCCCATTTCCAAGGGTAATCAAGGAATCCAAATTAGCCTTATGTTCGTTCTCCTCAGCAATCTTGTGTTAGTTCTCTTCCCAATAGCTGGAGAATGCAAGTTCAGTAGAACTCAGCTGTGTACCAAAAAGCATCCAGTGCAGAAAATATCCACCAAGAAATATTTTCATGGTCATGTCTTCTGTTTTCTATTTCAAATGATAGTCATAACTTGAGAATCAAAACCACTTTTTCCCAAACAGGAACCACCACCACTTGCAGCAGGTCCCCAGGCTCACACTAGACGGTCTTTTAAAAGACTGTCTATCTTTACCTTGACCCACCCTACAAAGTCCTCTGATAACCAACTAGTCAGAGGGAGAGGAGCATTTGATGATTATTGGCTCTGCAAATATTTGAAGTAAGTACTTCGGAAATTAACTAAGGACTTTCTTTTTCTATTTGGAATATTTATCACATCTATTTAGTTCAATAAACAAAGGAAAAATGACAATGAAACCGATATAATCTTTCGTGAAGATCATCTACGGAGCTATCTGTGGAGATAATGGTAGAAAGGAAGGAAGGAAGGTAGAAGGGAGGATGAAAGGCAAGAACTGAGGAAGGAAGAAAGGAGGAGAAAAACAAAACAAAACAAAACAAAGCAACAAAAAACGCTAGGTGGAGAAGCCTTTACCTGTGGTCTCTAAAAGGCCAGTATCATAGCGCATAAAACACATACATAAACGTGAAAATCAGCCCTCTGGAATACCAACTTCATTACCAGTTGCAATTTCCAAGGCCCTTTGAAAAATATGGCTCCTCAGTCCCTAGCCTTTTACATTCGTTGTTAATTACATCGACAGTTTGTTTCTGGGCACCCCAGTTACAGTGAGTCTCTGCCAGGCTGTGGAAGGTGTGTGTGTGTGTGTGTGTGTGTGTGTGTGCGTGCGCGCGCGCCGTAAAGCAGGTCATCATTACTGCTGACTCAGCCTGCTGCTGCGCAGGAGGATGGCTGTCAACCTGCGCCTGGCCTCGTTCACTGAGGATGTTCGGCCTCTGGAAGGACGTGGCTGGGTGATGGAGGGCAGTCCGGAGCTGGCGACCTTCTTGAGCTTATCTACGTTTGGGGAAGCCATGGGTTTTGGCAGTCCATGCAGGGTGGGCGTGCTGGTGCCTCGTGGGCAGTTCTGCTTCGCGCTGCTTCGCTCCTGGCGATTAGCGACTGCAGAGGCAGGGTAGGCTACGGCGCCCTTGTTGAGGGAACACGGCAAGCTTCCTCCGCTCTTCCTGAGCTCCAGGAGCTGTTCTCTGGCTTGACTCAAAGCCTCTGTCAGTTCAAAGCGTTCTTCACACTCTCTACGCACAGTTTCCTGGAGAAAAGTGTTCTGAAAAGAAATGAGGAAAAAGCACCTCTGGCTTGAAACAGTTTATGTAAGTGGAGAGTTACTGACAATTTAAATCAGAACTGAGCTGAAGGTCAGGGGCTGTATTCTCTGTCTCTTTAGTACTCTACTACATGAGACGGAGAAATGAAAAATAGTGTGTGAGGTTGGAAATAATGCTAACAGAATGGGTAGCTCACCTCTTGCCATTTGTAAGGTGGAATGACCAGGGTTCTGCAGATGGCGCGGTGGGATTGCAGCAGGAATCCAGGCCTGCTGCTGCCTACAACAGTGTGTTCTGATACCCACCAACAAATCTGAGAAGTCATCACGTGCTTGTTACTTTATAATGAAGGTGTAGGCCAATGTGTGAGGCGAACTGGTAAAATTAGGAGTGTGGAAAGAAAAAGCAGCCAGAGCGTTTAAACGGTGATATCGGCTATCTTTCAGATGCTTCCACTAGAACTTGAATATGGAGATCCTGCATCGTTCTTTAGGATCCTACCGCCCAATACAGAACATGTATTTCTTTTCATTCCAGCAGAAATTTCATCGTTACTGCGGGCTGTGGGGACAGTCTGAAATAGTCAGTGCCTCCTTGCTGAGAAGACTGTCTGAGGCAGTGAGCTCTAAGGGGAATACATTTATTTTGGCTCGTTGGCTCTGGAGGAAACAGCCCATGATCAGGTAGCCCCTGGGTGCCAGGACCTGGAGAGGGTGGCATATCCCAGCAGGAGTGCATGGTGGGAGGGTCAGCCGGGGTCCCACCATGTGCTTTGGTCACACACCTCCGGGAACGGTAGGACCTCCCACCAGAACGGAGGGACCTCCCACCAGACCAGCATCTTAAAGGCTCCCCTACTTCCCAAAAAGAGCCACATAGGGCTGACCTTCATCATATGGGCTGTGGGATCTTCATGTCCAGCCTCTTACTGAGCAAGCTTGCCACCTCATAAGGTTGAGCAGAACTGGTTTTTATGTATCTAATGGAATCTGAACCCAAGAGTGGATGCTATGTGTTTTAATAAGGAGGGGCTTTTTGACAGAATAATCTTGAAAACATAGAATCTCACACATAGGGATATATTGAAACAAATGTGAGCTTTAAATGAGATTGGATTAGATATCATTAAGGCTCCATCCAAGTCTGAGATTCTACATTTTTTTTTTTTTAAGGTGAGGAATGATCCATTTTCACATGTGGGGTTCATTGCAATTCCTTTAAGGGCCGTGGAAAACATAGGCTCTTGGCTCTTCCTAGTGTCCGGATACTGTGAAATGCATTCTTGGGTATGATATGGCCATCTTAATCAGAGCAGCTGCGATTACCTACCCTAGACCCTCACAAGAGCAGGCCTACTGGCATTTCCTCACAGGAGAGAGTACGGAGGCTCATTAGACTCTCCCCCGAGATTCCATCCACTCCCTCTTGCCCCCACTCACCCCACAGCTGTGTGTGTGTGTCTGTGTGTATACTCCATTATGAAGCTTTTGGGAAGATTTCATTATACTGGAGTGGGACTTTTTGGAGATGCAGCTGTTTTGGGGTTACCTGTGCTCCTGTTACATAACCCCACTCCCGTGTGTCTGTAAGTAAGCTCCATAGAATTATTTGGTTCAGCAAGCTGGGTGGGAATGGAGTTGTTCATATGATCTGTCACTGAGGGCCTATCTGAGGCAAACAGATATTTGCTCGTGTCTCCCTGAGAAAAGTAATGCGACATTTGACATGAGTCTGCAAATGGGGGGAGGAGGATGAGAAGAGGGTTCAGTCAATAAAATGGTTGCCATGCAAGTATAAGGACTTGAACTCAGTTCCCGAGCAACCGTGGAAAAAGCCAGGGATGGCAAAGAGTGTCTGGAATCCTGGTGCTGAGAAGGCAAATACAGGAGGACTGCTAGGGGTTCTGGGGACAGCTGGTCAGGCTGAGCTGGTGTCAGCCAGATCCAGTGAGAGACCCTGTCTCAAAAAATAAGGTGTAGGGTGATGGCAGAAGACACCCAACGTTAGCTTCTAAATTCACATGGTCTCCATGCATGCACTTACACACACACACACACACACACACACACACACATACATACACACACACACAGGATGAAAGTCAGTCATTCAAAGTGATGTCATAAAAACAAACACTTTGAAGTTATTATACTATAGGAATTATCAGTCAGGTTAGTTTGTAAAAGCAGCCAAGGCATTTCCACATCTGAGTCTTCATGGAAAATATCCTCCGTAAGATATAGTGACTAATCCGCCATCAGTGTAACTAAATAAGAAATCATCCGGCTGAACTGCATCCTCCTGTATGTGAGTTTCTCATGATTAGGGACAAAATTTTACTCAGTTACAAATTTGGTAATTAAAATATAACACCGGCTGAATATGGGCGCGCACTCCTTTAAGCCCAGCACTAGGGAGGCAGAGACAGGAAGTTCTGAGTTCCAGGCCAGCCTGCTCTACATAGCGGCTTCCAGGACAGGCAGGGCTACATACAGAGACCCTGTCTCAAATACATAAACAAACAAACAAAATAAATGAATAAATAAAGGCTATGGAGCAGTTCCAGATGTTACTAAAAAAACCATTAGAATGTCAGGGTCAAAGGTCCTTACTTATATTTTTAGTGCAAACACACATGATCCCCAGTTCCATATTTTCTAAGCCATTTGTCAGTTATTTGCTTTTGCTTGTTTTTAGTTTTTAGAGGAACCGGAAACTGCTGGCATTTGTGGCTTTGTCATCTGGCTTTCATTAGGTCCACCTGAGTACTGGCTGGCAGCCGGGGTGGGAGGTACCAAGCTTCTGGCGAGCACGATTAAGAAGCCGCTGTGTGAGAGCACTCACATTCACTGCTCCTGACATCGTCGCCACAAAAGAAGCCAGGCCTGGTTACATAACTTGCTGAGGGCAACTCGGCCCTGAAGCAGTGGATGCCTAGCGCTGCCTAGCCCCGTGCCTGGGTGAGGAATCTGCTTCAGCCATGTGGCAGGCATACATAGGCCATTTCATGTCTAGGACACATCAAGGTGACGAAAACCGGTGAGACATTTTCATCTGATTTTCCTAGGAATTCTAAACTCTATTAATTTAACCTTTCTTTTAAAAAGAAAGTCCTACTGCTTCATTTATCTATTCACAGTATTTATCTACATATACAGTACTATACATACCTATCTTTATATACATTCACACATATTATTTATCTATATATACAGTAGGCTGGCAAAATGTGTAGAAGTAATCAAATTTAAATCGTTTTCAATTAATTAGTATAAAATGCCCCTGCTCAAGAAAACTTTGTGGAGGAGCCAGTTTCCCTAAAACATAAAACCAAACAGGGCTAGGGATGGTCAATGAGGCAAACAGTCAGTGGTCTGGATGCTTACTATGAAAAGTAAAGAGATGAGGTCACGACAGCCTCGTCAGAGAAAAACAAACTCCAGCCAATTCACTAAGCTTGAATTTGGGCCTCCAAAGAGAGTAACACTCTACAGAAAACAAACCCAGGACAAGCCCCTGAAAACTGGCTTAGGGCAAGTGGCAAGGGGGCACGGAAAGGCCGGGGGGACAGAGAGCCACCGAAGCAGCAGCCACAGCTGGAGCGCGGTGGCAGCAGACTCCAGGCTTTCTAGCCAGGGAGGGCTGAAGCAGCCACGAGTTCTCAGACTGCAAGCCCCAGTTCCTCCTGGATACAGTCCAGCTGGGAGGAAGATCAGGGAGTTGGGGCAGGAGAGGGCTGCTGGTGGTCTCAGCGTGAGGGCTGCACTCTGCAGTCATCCTTCAAGCTATTAGCTTTCAGCACCAAGAATTAATTCTATTATTTCCCAAACCAGGAGGACCTCCGAAATGAAAACAGAGTCTGAAGTTGGGACTTTCACCTGTGCCAAAACACTATGATTTCTTAGGTGGATACCCTAATACCTTTGTTTTCTCTGCTGACATCACAACTTCCTCTCCTAAATTAATACTACAACACAGCTTTGTTCAACGAATAGTTTAGTTATTATAATTTATTCAGTGATAGTGTGGGATGTGGAAACTGGAATATTGAAAGTTTAGGAAGTTGCTATTTCGGAATGGAGTGTGCCAGCATAAGAGAACATGTGGATGTGACTGCAGTCAGTAGACACAGGAGTGGAAAATTCCATCATATGTGAAAACAATCATGGCCTAAAGTTGTACTGTTTTCTGCAGTTAGGGAAGAAGGGTGGGCTGTGCAGACTCTTTTTGCTTGTTTTGTTTTTAAGACAGAATCTCACTGTTTAGTTCTGGCTGTCCTGAAACTCACTATGTAGACCAGGCTGGCCTCCATCTCACAGAGATCCACCTGCTTCTGCCTCCCAAGTGCTGGATCTAAAAGGCGTGTGCTACTATGCCTGGCTGTGGCAGACTTTTAATACGTACTTTTCCTGAGTAACATGAAAGAATGTGTAGGACAGAACATGCTTAATGAGGCTGAAAATCAGCCGTAAACATGAGAATGATCAGTGATGTACTGCTCTCTCCATGTCTTACATAAGATTATCCTGGGCTGCAGTTTACCATAGCATCGTAAAGTAATATTACCGAACTGCAACTGAACTGGGAGTCAAAATGAAATGGCAGGCATGCGCCAGGTAGAGAAGGGTAAGTGGGGTTCCCAAGCACAGGGGGCAGCAAGAGACATGTCCAGGCATGGAACATGGTCTCCAGAAGACTTGGCCTGTAGACACAGGAGAAACGACCAGCACTGAGGCAGGAGGAAGTGAGCGAGTCAGAGGAGAACTCTGGCAGCATGTTATTGCTGGAGATTTTTCTTGGCTCTGAGAGGGCCAGCTGGATCATGGGAAGATATTTCAAGCAGGGCACTGGCACGACCACATTGGCATGAAAAGCAGCTCTCTCCGCCAGCTTTGTGAAAGGCGGTGTAGGGTGGAGCAAGGGACAAGGTGGCGGACACGGCACAGCAGGGACTGAAAGTTTTCATGGAGGTTCCTATTCTGAGGCCAGGAGTAATGTA